GACCACACAACGAAACATGGCGACAGTAAATCTATTCTGTAACAAACTATCATCAGTAGATATGAGAGTCTGACATACGAGGGGGTCAGCGGACTAGATGTCTAAGGGTTTAGAGAGGAGAATATTTTATGTCTGTTTATTTTACTTTGGTCCATGTCAGCTAATGAACTAAAACAGTACAGAGAGTTTGTTTCTGCTCTCAAAGCCTGCACGAGCAGGTGCATCACATACACCCCTGGAACAAAGCAAGCCTGGCTTTTTATTTTATTTTATATCATGCATATATGTATCCAGGAGTGAAAGAGTTGGGGAAACTCTGCAGGGACTTGGAAGAAATGATCAATAGAAAAGACAAGGAAGGATGAAAATGATTAGAGCGAGTTGATAAAAGCCACGTCAGGAGCGACGAAATTAGAAATACACGAAGACAAACGAAACAGGCTGGGAAGAAACGGACGAGAATGACAAAATCAACGAGGACTCTGCAGACTGAAAGGGGTGATAGGTGGAGAAAAAGATGGATTATTGCAGTAGCTGAGGCAGAAAGTGGAAAAAGCAGAAATGCGCAAGTTGTTTTTGAAGGAAAAAGACGAGTAAAAGCAGCGGTAGAAGTTGAAGAGTGACGTAAAAATGCTGGGAACAGAAGCAGAGGAAAAATATATTTACAAAAACAGAAAGGCAGATTTAGATTGAGGGAAGGAGGAACATGACAGAGCAGTGAACAGCTAGACCTTATTAAGAAGATATGACTACTTCTCTCACTTCCAAACGTTACACAGCAAGCCACTCTAATCTGAGCCTGCTTCACCCTGCCTTAATCCCATCATCATCATCATCACCCTCTAAAGAGAGACAATTCACAAAATGAGATGCGGGACCGGTGACAGGTTTACCTGAGTGTTAATCTGCTGGATTTTTTTATTTTATTTTACAAACATACAAATTCAATTTGCTTCTTTTTAAGTGACAATTGATCGACGATCAATCAGGAACATGACTCGTGGTGCTCGAGGTGAAACCAGAGTGATGTTTATGTCAAACGGCCAATGAGGACAAGCTAATCTCATTCTAAATTAGAGCAACTCTGGGAGCCCGTTCAGTCATCCACGGACAGTGACGCTTCTCACACACCGAGCAGGGACAGCGCAGATGTTTCACTCTGCTTCAAGCATCACGATGGCACTGATTCTAGAATTGCGCCGCTCAGAGTGGCTTCATGTTGGAGCAGCTACGTTACATTCATGCTGAGATTTTGCAAACTTTAGTTCCACTTTTTCTGGATGCAAATAGTTTTTGTGATGATCGTTTCCTCTGGTATCGGATGCTGTGCAGCTGGAAGGATTTTTACTGAAACTATTTTAGTTTTGGACATTTGTTATGATGCGTAGCCATGACAATAAGGTGTTTTTTTATATTTTTACAACCGTGAGCAGCTGATTAACATCTCAAAACTCAAATAATTGCTTAACTACAGCCCCAAATCTCAAATGAGTTGAAAAGGAGGCGCAGTAGATGCATACCCATCTCCTTGCTGGCTGTGCTCGAGTGTCTGACCACTGAGATACTGGAAATGGCAGGAAATGCAGCTCGTGGCAGCAGAAGGATGGGATCATCCTCCGACACCTGCAGCTGGCCGTCTGCAGTGACGAGGAGCTCAGCAGCTGCTGGGAGGAGTGGCCATCACTCTGGGCGGAGGTCTTCCCAGCATTTGGGTGGTTCTGCAGCCCGGGGGAAACAAGAGACCAGCCGAGTCTGGGTGGACAGATCAACAGCATCTGTGGCCAGTTTCTTCAGATCCACTGTGGGACGGACCTTTACAAGAGATCCTCCCTGCCTACAGCCATCAGCATCCCATCTCTTAATGAAACGAGGATGATGAGTTACAACTTTTAATTTCCCTCTGGGATTAATAAAGGGTTTATGAATTGAATGCACATCTTAGCTACTCGTGCAAAACAGGAGTATATAAAAAAGAAAAGCTCATACCAGTTTAATTATTTTTAATTCACCATTCTCTTGCTTTACTACATGACCTTTTCAGCCCACACTTAAGGACGCCACGCAGTCAGTGGGTCAACCAACCCCTTGACTTGACTGTGTGAACGTCTCTCGAGATTGGAAATACATTTCTTTTTTTAAATCCATGTCCCAGACCACTGACCAAAACGTTACGTTTTTTTCCCCGCCAATGTTTCACTTACAGTCCCTGAGGCGGGTCGAGGGGGATTCAACATCTGGTTCAGATGGCTTTATCTCTCGTGTGCACACAGCTGTGCACAGAAATCCCTCCACATCCTGTGCTTCTTTTACGGATGTTTATTTTCATATGTGCACATTTTTATTGTAAAAATCCACCTGCATCTCTTGAAAACAGATAAAAACACAGCTGATGTGACTGACCTAAAAACTTCAGTTTTCTGTCATCAGTTCCAGGAAGTGAAAAAGTTTGTTGGGGCTTGTCAGCAAGTATTTTGGTGAATTCCAGTCTGGCTTTTTTTTAATGTTTTTCCGTCAATAATGGAGCTGTTTCAGGTCTTCTTCAAAGGAGATCATTAGGATTTAAAATGTGACGACTGGTGGGAGCAGAAAGAGATGCCGCCTACCTTGATCTTGCAGTCCAACTTTGGTTTGGAATAGTTTCCTCAGCTCTTATTCTACAATGTGCAACATCTGATCAACCTGGGGTTGCACATCCTCTTGCATCCACATCCTAGGTGGTTGGTGACGTACACTCCCATGATTAAATTTAATAACACTGGCAGCTGTGGTCAGAGGGATCTCAAGCTATATTTAATGTGGATTTTTTTTTTTTTCTGAGCTCATCAGACAGCTCTCACCTTTGCTTTCTCGTGGCCACCTTGAGTGTGGTTAACAGGAAGACATCAAACTACCCAGTGGCTGTTTGTCCCTTTAAATAGGCTAAATGGTTTATAAAGCACTAGAAGGCAGCCGTGATACTGACTGAAGTCACAAACTTAGTTTGCAATATGACTTTAATACAAGTATTAAATTTCTCTGAGTTTAACTCCATCCATACATTATCTTTACCCACTTCTTCCTTTTTGGGTCGTGGGGGTCACTGGTGCCCATATCCAGTCCTTACTGTGAGAGAGGCTGGGGACACATGGACAGGTCTCCAGTCCATCACGGGGACACGGAGACAAACAGCCATTCACTTTCTCACCTAGGGACAATTTAGAGTCACCAATCAGCCTAACATGCATGTTTTTGGTTTGTGGAAGGAAACCGGAGCACCTGGAGAAAACCCACGCATGCACGGAGAGAACATGCAAACTCCACCCAGCCAGGATTTCAACCGGCGACCTTCTCGCTTAGAGGCAACAGCTCTACCAACTGAGCCACCGTGCTCTTTAAATTCATTTTATATATATATGTTTTTTTGTAAAATAAATTACAATTCGCATTTGTTTTGTTTACACCATGACACTGTAAGGGCATGCAAACATGTCATATAATTGCTTTTAAATTAAATGTTACCAGGAGATTCTTAACACTGTTTACGAGCTGTGAGTGTATCAACAACTTTATCTTTTACTTAATTAAAGATGTTGTGGAGCTCTATAGGATATACTTACTAAGATAACATCTTTTCCTTAATTAGCTCTGATTTTATCTCCTACAGAAAAAAAAAATAAAAAAAATGCACTTTTTATCTTTCTGTAAAAGTGCTTGATTTAATTTAAACATGCATCTGTTTGCCAAAAGAAACAGAAAGTATGTTGTGATATAAAGAAAAGCACAGTAGAATTTATTTTAAACTTTTCTCTCCGTTATGGTGTTGAACACGCGCGCACAAACGTAGCTGCACGTGAACGCACCAGCAGCACTAATTGCTCGCGGGAGCATCTCTCCCTGTCAGGCGGGATGATTAATGATGTGCGACCCCGGACACATCCAACCAGGACCGGAGAAGATCCGACAATCACCGGGGGGTGGGTGGGGGCAGGCCGGGGTTTCTGTCCCACTAAAGCCCCCGGAGGACCGGCTGAGTCTCCGTCAGCAACTTCCTCTGGAATCCCACCGAACCGAGGAAACCGAACCACTGGGGTGAGCTGCAACTCTCTAATCCTGAAAATATTCTGGATGAAACTGAAATAGATCAAAGAGTATTGTCCTAAAAACAAAGACGTGACCATTGGACAAAGACAATAAAATAATAATATCTGTGTGACTATGTCGAGAGCCACGTGACCTTGTCAGACTGCCTTCCTTAAGACAAATTAAAGTTGTCCATAATCCCAAACTTTTACCAAAATTAAAGCGTAATCTAAACCAGACTGAAGAAATCTCTATTGAACTGTTCTTCTTAAATCCTGTTAAAAGAAAAGGCTTAAAATTACCATCGTTTTCTGTCTGTTGTCACTTTAAATTAAACTTTTTATCTGACCATCTCTGCCTCTGATCACATGAGTTTGCATATTTATTCCTAAATTATCACCTATATCACATTTTCATTCACACTGAATAAAATTGTTTTTAATGTCTAATTTACTCTCTATAATTAATTTCATTCTTAATTTATTATTTTGTTAAGCCCAAGAGGCTATAATTGATTAATTGGCTGATTAATGCCTCTTGTCATCAGTTTGGGTTCAGCTTCAGTGAACTGGACAAACCCCAAAGAAACTCAATAATCTCATCCATCATTAATAACTCCAAATCTGAAAGTGTTTCTAGATTAACTGGTTCTTAAACGCACTCGATGCAAACAATGAAGTTGCATAAAAGCAAAACAAAAGGAGCAAAAGCACGTGTCAGAGGATCCAGCCCTTTATGAAAACCGGTGTTTAAAAGCCTGCTGGCCACAAAATCTGAACGGATGAGATGCAAGAGAGTCCACACGTGCAACTCAGAGCCCGGTTTAGCAGCACCTCTCCCCGGTGCAGCTGGCACCACCAGTTCTGCCCCAGACTGTTTCCCAGCCTCAAATCCATCCAGCAACAAATAACACGCCAAAAAATAAAGCACTACCAACTTACGGGTTGTTGGTAGAGCTCCGTCCACATTGGTGACGTGGCAGAAAATCCAAAACGCGACGGAGGACCGCAGCAGCAGCGGCGGCGGGAGTCTCCGCGCATGGCGCATGTTGGCGGCGGCTGCGGGCGCAGGAGGAACCGGGAGGCGGGGAGAGATCCGTCAGCCTCGCTTTGCTGTTGAGGACTGACAGAGAGGAGTGTGGCGCAAATACTCTCACTCTCCCTCTCTCTCCCCCACTCTCTCTCTCTCTCTCTGCCTCTCGATGATGTAAGGATCGCGCCGTCAAAGAGCCGGAGCTTTGAAAGCAAATGATCCCTGCTGCTTCCCACCCCTCGCCTCCCTCTTTATTTGGTGACTCCGTCTTATATTTTTTGTTTTAAGGAAACAGCCGAGTTCCACTTCCAGACGACCGGGGACGTGTCTGGGACTTGAGAGATGACGCTGCGCTTCTCGGAGCCGCCGGACTGATGCGCTCCGATGCGCTGTCCGTGGTGCTGAACTTATCCAGCCTCCTTCACACTGCCCTCCTCCTCCTCCTCCTCCTCCTCCTCCTCCTCCTCCTCCTCCTCCTCCTCCTCCTCCTCCTCCTCCTC